ATTCGGTTAATAGGTGACTTTGATATCGTTAGCATTCCCTGTTAACATTTATAGTTTCTGAAAACTGGATGCACCATTGCCCCCGACCTTGACCTGAATAAGCCTTTCGATTCAACGAAAATCGTTTTCTGCTAATGCAAAATAATCATACGACGTTTTGGCCTGCTTCTAACCAGCGTGAACGAAGACAAATATATAAGACTTAATTGAGTTTGAGAATCTCATTTATTCAACAGGATTAGTTCCAATCTACCGTTGATTCAATTTAGCGCTAACCAAGACAGAAGACACCAGACCCAGAAATCCAAACGCATTGAAGAAGGACTGATTTCAACCTAACAGCCCATTACGACCTTTAACAGGCAGCAAAGGACAGTTCAGTGAGATTAGTTTCTGTTATACTGCACTGTTGAGCTTAACGAGATGAATTCTGAAGAAGACCGACTGACCAGTGGCGAGTTCAATCTCGGCAACTGAGAAGCAATCCCTCTGACCACAGGTGCCAATGTGCACATCGTCTCCGATAATGAAATCTTCCGGAACAGACAACAAAGAGGCGCCGAGAGTGACGTGAACACCGGCGTGGTCTGCAGGAAGCCTCGCCGACGACGTTATGATAAATATAGCGATGTTATTTTGGGTACAGACATCATCAAAGAAAACATGATGTTGATTTGCAAATCACGTATACAACGTTTGAAAGTCTGTCATTACTTTTCTGGAAATCATTCAATAATCGAATGTCAGTGATGGATATTTTCAGATGCATCAATGATCAGGAGGAAGTATCTGGTGTGAGTCTAGATAATAGCCGCTAAAAACAGTATTCCGGTTATGTCGTGCCGGTGAGCTTGAGTGGGAGATAACTCCGCCCTAATCACGATCCAGACATTTCTAAGGCAACAAACAGATCTATCACTGATCTGGACGATAAAAAAAGAACATGAAAAATAATGAACTTGGAAGAAACTGAAATTAAGCAATTTAAATTCTATTAGACATGTTAACTTTCAGTCTGATGGAGAATGTAATCGTTAGACACCGTGCAAGTTATATTGAATTCAAGGTATCAGGTCAGTTTAAATTCTATTATGAGCTGAATTAACGTGTATATCCCAGAGATAGCGAAATTGTAAACCTGAGCCTGATCGGATCTTTATCTCCAAGGTATGGGCAATTTCAAGTCAGCCCCGGGGGAATTAGGGAGGGTGACACAAGATACTGAAACGTAAAACTAAGCTAACGTTACTGGTGACATACACAATACGACTTGGTATGCTGCCTATCAATCGTCAAAGCAAGAAAAAGACACTTTCGATTATCTGCGGAAACATATTCCACTTGGTGCAAGAAGGCAAAATAGAATATTACATATTGGATCAATAAAAATCAGATCAACGTTAAAGATATGAATCATGAAAAAGGTCACAGGGTCTCCTTTGAAAACCAAATATAATCAGCTGGATCATCATTAAAATTCGCGTCCTCTCTCATTGAAACAAGTACATTCAGAAGGTGTACACCGCTATACCAATTAAACCTGACTCTTACAAAACTCCAACCTTTCTCCTCGTGATCACACAGACCTAAGAATACATCATGCTGGTTTTGATCTCATTCCGTCTTTCACCTTTTGTACAGATGCTTAATTCCAGTAATTTTCTTTGGTTCCAAAACCAGTAGTCAGCAGAAGGCCATGGTTCCAGTGTTCGATCAATAATCCAAATTAAGCTGGATATGTATCGATCAAAAGCAGCACACTATGGTGTAATAGACTAACGCTTAGTCTCAAAATACATATAATAATGATAGAAACAAACTGTTCGTTTTATATTGAACAGGAGCTCCAGAGAGAAGGGATATTCCTGAAATCTATACTTGTTTCAGGTTAGGCTTTAGTATTGCAGAATGGGCACTAATAAGCTTCAGGGGCGGTGAGACAGACTATGGTGGTAATTACAACGGCAATGCACCATGTACCAAGGTGTACCAAGTACAGCGCTACGTCAGTCAACCTTCAAAACAAAGATCTTACTATGACAACGTCACCGACGTCACCAGTCTGCACTGTAAAGAAGGGTCATCAAGTGACATCTTCCCCGGTCTGGTGCAATTCGGAAATGGAATTGGCTACTTATACGCCATTTTGGGTTCATTGCCACAGGATGTCTTCAGCTAAGTGAAGAAGATAATACCGTTCTGTAGTTTTCAATATCCTAAGTCATCACACTGCACCAGATGACCACTTGACCGGACAATCCAGCGAGCATAGACTTGGTGATATTAGAATTATCGATATTGATACAAATCAACATTAGTGAACACGGCAATTAGTTTCATTATAATTGTAAATGTATAATATGTGAGTATTTAGTGTTAATGGAAATCAACTGATACAATTAAGCATGTTGTACGTCTATACATATAAGTAGCAAATAGGCGGATAACATGAGCAATGGGAGTAAGTGAGATTGGTTCAGCGACGCTTTACACATACTTTCATTAATAGCACAGCTTAATGTTAACCTGGTCTACGAGATATATATTTACAACCAGGAATCAAAATCGGGGAGAATTTTTTATTCAAACCCCGATAATCGGATCCTGAAAATCAAAGGGACATAACTCTGTACAACGATGTGATGATGACAGCGTGAGCGATGGTTATAGGTGAAATATCTATTCTAAGGATGAATACAGTTGTGCCATAACTGTGCCACAACGCTCAAGCCAAGCGGCACTCGTGATACAGCCACAATTAGCCACTCAACGCTCTATCAAAGACACAACACAATGGCCATTATTTATGACATTTGAAGCCCAAGCAGATTCTAAGCAACAGCGACGGATACGCAATGTGTGTCAATTGCAATCATCCATTTCAGCATTCCTATTTGACATATCATAGACTAATTAATAGTTGTCGCAATGTAAATTTAAGATGAATACTTCAGACAGATACATATCTAGAGAGCTTTGCATAGCGCTACTCGGTTATCATATCCAGAAGTCCATCAACGTATTCACCTGCACTAAGATATGAAAACCTATTCACACTCATTCGTGCTTACACGTATGTGTTATAAGTGAAATCAACCAACAGCTGTTGACATGCATGATGTGAATTCACAGCCATATGATCACGTACAGACCGGAGTGTATGTTTCCCATTACTTACGTTCGATAACCCACAAGCAGAGAAGCGGACCGCTTATTTTGCCCCGGAGTCAGACTTGTGGCATCACATTCTGTTATTTAACGTCCGTGGTAATTTTTGTTTTTAGACTGTTTCACAGCGAACACGCTCACTTATTTATAAAGATTTTCAACAACTAAAGATGGCCTAAAGAACCACTACGTTTATTTTCGTTTAACGCCGCTCTCTGCATTTGGCCTATATTAGCTGTATGATTGTGGTATCGACCAGCTAATCCAGTGATTGACTTCATGAGCATCGATCTACGTAAGATACGACGACATCCATCAACGACAAGTATAGTACTGGCAAACATATTTAGCATAAGCTAGGATTCGAACCCACGATCATATGTTTCTGGCACACTCAAGGGACACAACTCTGTGTCGTCCGTACCTTAATGTCTAAAGAACAGACAAGGAGAGCTTGTGATAAATGCTAGATAATATGACAGTTAAAAAATATGTCCTCGGCGTGTTGGGCACACAAGAGAAAAAGCGATAAATATTGTTCGATTCAAATATTATTGCAGAGAGAGTATGTGATAACAACCAAGCACTATAGATTGCGTGTCGAGAACTATTACACACAGACATTGCACCTGAGAGGAAGTGCTCCAACTATTGTTCACCAGCGTGGTTTATAACGATAATGAGATTCCAGCTTCACTTTCATAACATTTATCGCGCGCAGGTTCCCCACAGAGAAACGTAAAATGTCGGAAACATCCAATCCGTCCCAATTCCAAATGAACTTCGTATACGTCTAATTATAATCCTTCCCGTTTAATTACATACTTATTAAACGTAACAACAATAAAATATAGGAAGAAATATCGGCCTTGACCTAATTCATATCTTGGACGACTTCTCTATGGCAAGCTGTCTCTCTTTGAAAGTTATTCAGACCAAAACATTCTCCCGATCTCTATAATCCAAACCTGTCAGAAAAATATGTATGTCATTTTCACATCATTCTCTCAGACCTTCTAAAGTTACTTTTTATAGAAGTTTTAGCTGTTTTAAAATTCACTTTCATGAACGTTTGCTTTCATAAACCTTTTTTCCACGGAACCCAGGTTCAACTTCATGAAAGTTCTCTCCAACCACAAAGAATTTCCTTTCATGAAACACCTCTCTTCCAAGAAGATAACGGTCCTCAGCGTTCTCTTGTTTATTTATTTGTTTGATTGACGCTGAGCAATATGCCTCTGAAGCCGGTCTGTAAATAATCGAGTCTTGACCAGACAATCCGGTGATTGACAATATGAGCATCGATCTCCGCTGTTGGGATACGATGACCTGCTTCAACCAAGTCAGCGAGAATGACCACCCGATCCCGAACAGGATCTTCACGGGTCTTCTCAATATTAACTTGCCAAACGATTCTCACATTTGCTTGAAGCATTCATTCACACACGTGCAGTATCGCATCTATTTTGCCTCATCACGTAGATGACCTACACAAGATGCCTCACAAGCTCAAACTAAAGTTTGTTTATATTATCCTCTCCTCGCATCAACACTCACAGCAGTACCGCCTTCCTCTGATATTTGACACTACTATCGATTTTGTACTGAATATGAAACATATAGCATAAACGTGTTTACATATTTCCCAGGCAATCATTCTGACAACAGAGAGTCAGCTGTTACTTTTCAACAGTAAATGGTCATAAAACGAGTGGATAGATGTTATAAGCTTGTAAAGAGCGTTGCTTCATAAGGGTTAGCGATGGAGAATGAAACATGCAGGCGAGGAAGCATGAGGCAAACGGTAGGTTTAGAAGTATGTGCCCACTCACATCTGTCCCTCCATGGGTTCATCTATTTTCCTGCTGATAGTGCCGTTGTCGACGTTATACTCATGGACACTTCGCCTGCAACAACAAGGCAGGCTGACAAACAGCGACATCCCCTCGGTGATGCTTGTGACCCAAGCATAGAAGCACATGTGTGACTGACCGGTCTGGTGTATTGTGTGACCTGTCTGGTGTATTGTGTGACCTGTCTGGTGTATTGTGTGACCTGTCTGGTGTATTGTGTGACCTGTCTGGTGTATTGTGTGACCTGTCTGGTGTATTGTGTGACCTGTCTGGTGTATTGTGTGACCTGGTCTGGTGTATTGTGTGACCTGTCTGGTGTATTGTGTGACCTGTCTGGTGTATTGTGTGATGACCGGTCTGGTGTATTGTGTATTGTGTGAACCTCTGGTGTATTGTGTGACTGACCGGTCTGGTGTATTGTGTGACCTGTCTAATGTATTGTGTGACTGACCGGTCTGGTGTATTGTGTGACCGGTCTGGTGTATTGTGTGACCTGCCTTGTGTATTGTGTGACGAACCTGTCTGATGTATTGTGTGATCTGTCTGGTGTGTGACTGACCTACATGGTGTATTGCGCGACTGCCTGTAAAGTTTGTCTGATGGTCAATGTGACCTGCGTCTGTCATTAACGGTGCCATTTTAGTTGTGCGTCAAACTAACAATGTCCATTTTTGCCAAAAATGCTTCCAGCTCAGGAACCAATGGCAGCTTCAGCCATGTCAATAGCCAGAAAAGCCAGGCACCTTTGAAGCGCTGCCATAAAATTACATTTAATGCTATCAGAGTCAGGCCAAGGGCGATTATTGAGAGGACAGCAGTTTGAGTTTCTTAGATCAGATAAAGAACTCGATGCCGTCTAAGGTTGTGTCGCCATCAGTCAAAACCGTCTTGGATGTTGGTGTCAAAGTCAGAGGAGATTTAAGGTTTCTAATTGTCATAGTCTCCCCACCCCTCTCCCCATAGATTTGTAGTTGTAGTCCGCCTGGTGATATCGGGTAAGAATGTGCCCCAGGGTTGACTGTTAAGATCAGGTGGATTGGTTCTAGTTGACTGTATGCGGTTTGGGGTTCTGGTGTGCCTTGCCCTCGAAACTGGTCGCTGTGACTGAGCTGGACTGTGGTCACCTGTGGCTACACTACACTCCTCCCACTTCCACGCACACATGCGCGCGCACACATTACTCGCTGTAGCCCTTGATTGAGTCATGGTCTCCCCCTTGACCATTTTTGTCCTCCGCATCAGTTTGATTCATTATTCCTTCTTTATACGGCGCGGCCAGACAAATTGCAGCTACACAAAGCCAACATGTACATAGCAGGGTCTGGACTAGACAAACCAAAGACCTACATCCTCACCACGCCAGGTTAACAATCAACACGACAGCGATCCCGACCACCCGATCCCCATCGTAGCATGTTCTAACAGGTTTAAGTTATATGGGACCTATTCAAACCCGACATCACCATGTTCTCAACACAAGTCCAGTTTGGTCGTCAGTAATGTTGTAACAAGGGCAGGTTACACGAGACCAATTCTAACCCGATATCACCCTCTCTTCAACACAAGTCCAGTTTGGTCGTCAGTAATGTTGTAACAAGGGCAGGTTACACGGGACCAATTCTAACCCGATGTCACCCTCTCTTCAACACAAGTCCAGTTTGGTCGTCAGTAATGTTGTAACAAGGGCAGGTTACACGGGACCAATTCTAACCCGATGTCACCCTCTCTTCAACACAAGTCCAGTTTGGTCGTCAGTAATGTTGTAACAAGGGCAGGTTACACGGGACCAATTCTAACCCGACATCACCCTCTCTTCAACACAAGTCCAGTTTGGTCGTCAGTAATGTTGTAACAAGTGCAGGTTACACGGGACCAATTCTAACCCGACATCACCCTCTCTTCAACACAAGTCCAGTTTGGTCGTCAGTAATGTTGTAACAAGTGCAGGTTACACGGGACCAATTCTAACCCGTTTTCAACACCAGTCTTGTTTTGTCATCAGTATATGTCGTGTCTGTGTGTGTTCCACGATGTGCAAATTTTTAGTGGTGACATTTGTCATTACAATCCCCCAGTGGTTGTAGGATGTGAACACACTCTGTATCCTCCTCCTGTCGGTGTTTTAACATATACATCCATTCACATTCAAATTAACCATACAATTTCCGTTTCCTCAACCTTCCCAAGTCATCATGATAATGGCGTCATGAGGCTCGACGGGGTCACTGGCCCTCATTTCCCGCGGCTGAAAATTCAGTAGGAAGGCTACACACTTAAAGGATGGTAACTGAAAATGAGCATGTAAGTGTGTTGCCATGGTTACTGTATACTTACACGTCAGGGTTCTCCAAGAGAGCTCTTGTCTTGTAAGTCCCAATGAGGAGACTTCCGGTCACCCCGCCAAGCCCCATGAAGAGGATAATCCAGGCGATGAGAGACGCGCATGGAACGTGCGATAAACATCTCAGGAATTTGTCACAGCACGTGTCTCCTCGAACTGAAATACAAAAAAACAAAACATTATGTCGCCTGTCATTCAAAGAAGTAGCAATACTTTGTTTGTTAACACTGACTGACTGACTGAGTTTAGTTTTACTCCGCTTTTAGCAATATTCCAGCAATATCACGGCGGGGGACACCAGAAATGGGCTCCACACATTGTGCCCATGTGGGGAATCAAACCCGGGTCTTCGGCGTGACGAGCTAACGCTTTAACCACTAGGCTACCCCACCGCCCCTTGTTTGTTAACAGAAAACACTGCAATAGTTCAGCAATTCCACAACGAGCTGTAAAGAATTGAGTCCGCATGAGAATCAACCTACTATACTGGGATAGAACGACATGCATCAACCCCGAGCCTGACCACGCTATGCCGACAGTCGCCTCTTACGACAAGCAGGGTTGATGGAGAACGGTTTTACCCCATCTTCATGAGATTTTAGTTTATGGAATCAGCTAATATTCTATCACAAAAAGAAGATATTTGATTGACGTAATGTTGAGTGATTTCGGTATGGGTACTGGCAAACATAGAAACATGGTTAGGACGAACCAGGATTCGAACCTACGATCACAATATTCTGGCACACCCAAGGGATGCAACTCTGCAACGCCATCCGTACCCATAATTCAGTGTAACGTTTGACAAACCCTTGAAAACAAACACGTAATGTCCACATTAAGAGCAGGCCACGTTTGATCTCGATTAATTAAACAAATTAAATTAAACATACACCATGTTAAAGTCAGAGACTGTAACTGCATGTTTCAACTCGAATGTGCAGAATGACGACATGGTTGGTGATTTGTTTCTCTCTACTTGTATTAATTGCTAGCTGACTTCTCGTTCTCGATCATGGATTTACCTACAGTTTCAGTCTCAGTCTGGCTATTTCCCCTTATACCAAAACACGTGTGAGCGAGTGCATGTTGTTTAACACCGCATCCCGCAATATACTCAAGCTAAATGACAACAGTCAGACAGTAATTGCGTCTGGACCAGACAAACCAGTAATTGACATCATGAGAATTTGAGATATGATGAGATGCATAATCAAATCTAGATCAACCGATCCCATCAGTAGTGAGTGAGTGAGTGAGTGAGTGAGTGAGTGAGTGAGTGAGTGAGTGGTTTTACGCCGCTTTTAGCAATATTCCAGCAATATCACGGCTGGGGACACCAGAAATGGGCTTCACGCATTGTACCCATGTGGGGAATCGAACCCGGGTCTTCGGCGTGACGAGCGAACGCTTTAACCACTAGGCTACCCCACCGCCCCTCCCATCAGTTGTGAGTGAATGAGGAGCAAGTGAGTGAGTGAGTGCATTACATTCCAGCAATATCACGGCAGGGGACACCAGAAATGGACTTCACACATTGTACCCATATGGGGAATCGAACCCGAGTATTCAGCGTGACGAGCGGACGCTTTAACCATCAGGCTACCGCACCGCCCTTCTTGTTGACGAGGATGGTGGAGGCTGCTTCAACAACTTTAGTTCTCGATATCATCTTCCATAATAAGCCTGAACCAAGGAGGGGGTCTTCGAGATATTTACATATGGCACCGGTTGATATTCCATTTTCAGGATCCACCCATATGAGACTGACAAAACATCCGCCCATATTTGAACACACACTCGATATTCTTAAGAGAGGCTATCAAACGTGACAACAGCACAAACACGGTCGAGATGAAATAACCAGACCTGATGCAACACTCCGGGCCCACTAAAAATATCTCTCATTTCTGGATCATCGCTCCCGTCGAGCGACTATCCTCATTATTCACGATTTAATATTTCAGGAAAAGGAAACCAGTAATAATTGTCAGCTTTCGTCTATTTGAAATATTTCCAGCCGAACTATGTGAATACTTGTAATCCATGCTATATAAACATTCTAAAACCACACCCGATTCGTGAGTAATTACTGCTGCATAAACATTGCCAAGGAGTTCCAGAAACATAATTAATAGAGCAATGCAACTCCAAACTCATAGCCCGGCGAGAATATGAGCAAAAACAGAAGTATGCATACATCAAACAGACACAGTTTCACCTTGAGGTAAACTTAGCACGCAGCTGTAAGCTTGAGTGGAAATCACTAGGAGGTAAAAACCCACCTTGCTTCAGACCGTCGTATCACTTACGCCATAATGAGTTAAATTGTGTACAAATCACATAAGCGTTACCGTATAGCAATATAACGAATAAGACAGAAAACAGGGAATATGAAACAACATTACTCCGAATATTACACAATGATTACACAGCCTGGTATGATAGTATGTCAGAGGTGTGCGCAATGGCGGAACCACTGGCTGTGATCCAGATGCTAAACATATCTTATTGATGTTCTGTGCTGTTACAAACCTTGGTATTCCGTAGCCATGTCGTGAGTGTGTCAGTGATGTTGACTGTGTCCTCGCTGTCCTAGCGTCCGAAGGATATTAGCGCTTGTCACTCAGATAAACAACAATACAGCACATCCCCATGAAGGAAACCACTCGACACTCTTGCCAACCTGATTCCGGGCCTCATTGGAATTTGGACATAACTACCATGGGTTATTAATCCACATTAGCGCTCGGAGTCCACGCGTTATGTATGACAATGCGCCAGTGAACGAAGCTCTCGTCACAACACAACAACAATTGAGCCTCCCTTTTTCGCTGTTCTGTGCACCATCTGCCGGAGTCAGGACGACAAAGGCTTACTAAACACATATAGATAGATGCTGTGCATACATCCAGGAGAACTGGGGTAATATTTAGCACGAGGTTGCGGAGAACTGGAAAGGTTACAAACTAACAGTGGTTTTCCGTCTGTTTCCAGTTTGGGATGCTCGAGGGAGCTGAAGATGCTCCTCCGCCTGATTCTCATTCTAATTATGTTGGGAGGATGGAATTAACGGATTCCAACCTCACACTGCATATGTGTTATAAGAGGAGTGGGTGAGTATGGTTTTACGCCGCTTTTAGCAATATTCCAGCAATATCACGGCGGGGGACACTAGAAATGGGCTTCAGATATTGTACCCACGTGGGGAATCTAACTCTGGTTCTTGGCGTGACGAGCGAACGCTTTAACCACAAGACTACCACCGCCCCTAAACGAGTAATAAACACTGCGGTAACCACAAAGCATATCTCTCGGTACATCGAATCGTTCTGGCGTCCCCGCCGTGATATTGCGGGAATATTGCTGAAAGCGGCGTAAAACTAAACTCACTCGCTCACATCGAATCGTTACCCCCTCGATACAAAGACTGGATACTCACTATCCCTCGAGGTCCTGGAAGACCCGGGTTCGAGCTGGTCTTATACCATCGGTTGTAAGGAGGGTCTACAGGGATCAGATGGTCGGACTCGCAGAATCGGTCCATGTCATGGTGCCGCGATTCTCATAATGTCAGTCACTACTTACACTTTGCCAAGGATCACAAAAATTCACAACTTCACTTAAACGTAGACTCATAATTTGAAATTGTATCCATTTAAAACTGGATAAATAATAATATGGTAACCCCTCTTTAGGCAAACAGTCACTTTAATCTAACCTTATGCACTTGATACATGAGTAACCATAAAAATGGTTTTGATGGCACCAATCAACCATTTTGCAAATCATGGAACGAGTCATTCATAAATACACAACACCTGTCAGTAGCAGGTATAGGATCCACAAGATGCAGTGACATACAGAAACTTAGGATCCATGCTTACAATAAGCTTAGGTATTTAAACATCCGAAAGTCCATATCATAGTTTTCTGTTGAATCCATGATTTAGCAAAGTGTGAATAGTCTATGTACAGACTGCCGTCACATCATTGGAATACTGCTAAGTGCAACAAACTATTCCCCTTTTAGTCATCGACCATCGTTTGATACACCCACTTACCTACTTATCCTCCGAAACTCTCTCTCTCTCTCTCTCCCTCTCTCCCTCCTTTTCTCTCTCTCTCTCTCTCTCTCGACCTCTCTCGACCTCTCTCTCGACCTCTCTCTCTCGACCTCTCGACCTCTCTCTCTCTCTCTCTCTCTCTCTCTCTCTCTTGAATTGGCAAATTCTGGGACTCTGACTCACAAAGATGCTTTACACCATTGGACTACGTGTGCCCACAAACCCCCATTTGTTATTTCTTACACACGTAAATTAAACAAAAAGACACACTTGCAATATTCATCACCGCAATATCAACACTACTCATCCGCTGCATCTCGTGTTCGCAAACATTTAAACAAGCAGACAGAAAAAAACAATCTTTATGCACTTTAATAAAACATGTTAAAAGAAAACATGTTAAAAACGACCGCCCTGTCAAACACCTATATCTGCATGAGAACACACACATTTCCGTGCTTCGCTTCACAAGTCGCCCGACCACAGCCTCACTGTTTACACTATCCTTACGTCAACCGTACTCCCGTTATGCCGCATGTGCGCCTGTGTTTGTGCATCCTGTACATTATTACATGACAGTTGATTCGGTTCAGCGTCTGCGACACAAGGATGTTCTTTCATTAAACAGTTACTTTCATCTCTTAACATCACACTTAAAGTACGCATCTTCCGCTAAAGGGTGCATTTGCGTGACATTTAATTGTTTAACAATATACGTTGTATATTGACCTATATTCACCATCGTTTTCAATGAAGTCTTGCAGAAGAATAACTGTCGAAGTTATGTTGAGTTTGATGTGATAAATCCTTTTACTTATCAATACACAATATACTACGCTTATAACGAACTGACGAATATGACGAATTGTTTTTGTGCCTGTTACGTGCTATATGTTTTAGTCGAAATGAGTATAACGAACTACGGTTAAAGCGAACTCAAATTAGAGGTCCCTTTGAGTTCGTTCTAACCTGGGGGAGGTGGGGTAGTCTAGTGGTTAAAGCGTTCGCTCGTCACGCCGAAGACCCGGGTTCGATTCCCCACATGGGTACAATATGTGAAGCCCATTTCTGGTGTCCCCAGCCGTGATA